CTTTCTTCCTTTCTTCCTTTTTCCAATTATATGTTCAAATACTGACATACATACTGACGACTATCTAAAACATCAAGCCGTGAGCAATGAATGGTCAGAATATAACCTACAATCGTCAACGGAACAAAACAATTAGACCCCAATGCTTAATTTCTTATTTTATGAAAATATTTTTAAAATTTTGCTCTAAAACGTATTACCAGAAACTATAAACACCCCTTCCCGTTATCAACGATTGAAGAAAAGTTTCTTTCTATTGGAACTCCCTGGGTTGTCCAGGTCTCAGTGTATTTTTTCGCCGATTGTACGTACTCTGATGCGTACATTTAGAATCAACCTAAAAATAGACAGTCGATTTTTAAGATATATATCGCGCAAACAAAATCCGTTCAATACGCACCTGTTACGAGGCACTTAGATAATATCTTACATTATCAACATACTATTACTAGTAAATGAACGTAACTTTTATCGTAGAGAATGGACAACTGCATGGCATTTCCTTAAAAAACATCATCAACGTTAATATTTGAAGTAACTTCGTGTGAGAGCGATAGTTATTTTTATCTTCTTGCTTGATGTTATTAATCAACACAAGGCTTTTGAATATTCTTACGATGTTCGCTTGCCTGTATTCATGAACTCCTATGTCTAGTATTGAGCTTATCTGCATGTACGTAATTTCGAAGTCTTTCAGTCAGGTCTCCTGCAGGCTTGTTTCTCATTCATGCTGGTTCTCATTTGATTTATTTTWGTTTTCATTCTTTGTGGTATAATCTTGTATTTTGTAAGATATAGTTGCGTATTCATTCAACGCTTTTTGAGCTTTTTTCGTACTGAATAGGACATGTAAGGAGCAGACTTACCGCCCGTTCATGCGGCAAAAGCCGCACACTGAAATAGCATTTCACTTACAACACATATACGTACACAGTACAACTTRCCGTAACATTGAAATGGCTTCTCATCGGTGTTCCAGTAATTCATCAAATCACAACGCGTAGTTACGGTAAGCTAAGGTACGACTTCATATTGCTGCATCGTTTCTAATATATGCGAAAATGCTAAACCTTTTTCACAGTCTCGAGCTTTCATTCTTCTCGACAAAAACTTCACGCGAAGCGGAGAAAAACAGGGCATTTTTATGGATTTTGTGGACATTTTTTAAATTTGCGGCAAAGAAAAAAGTAACTTCTTTTCTAACTTTGAATGCACTGACGGAAACCCGAAAAAATCTATCCCTGTTGCAAAAAAAAAAAAAAGGAAGCGTCTGTGATAGTACTCAAAACATAGAAATAGAAACTAGTCATTTTAGTTATACTACGATAGGTCTGATAAAAACTGGCTGTCTTTTTTTATTTATAGAACTTCTATTTCTGACGTTTAGTTATCCTTTGGCCTCATAGATTATATTTAGTTCAAGTTGGTGATGCAGGAAGTGTCCTCTTTGTACAGGAATCACTTGTTTCACTGACATACGTATCTTATTTGAATTATTTACTATGGTAGCTTTCTTGCCTCATGACGGGCGGAGATTTGAATCCGTCATCATGCAGTGATTGTGTAGGTCCGCTTGATTTTGAAAGCTTTAGTTGTGATATACGCCGTAGTGTAGTTGAATTATTCACTTTGGGAAAGAGTTCCTGTCCTTTCATTGGGAACCGTGTRCCTTCGCTTGATTTTAAAAGCTTTAGTCGTGACATAAGCGTTTGAATTACGCCGCACTACAGCGAAGAATTCCTGTCTTTTTATCGTAAAACGTCACTTGATTTTGAGAAGATTTATTAGTGGCAGTCGTACTTTATCTTGAATTATTCATTCCATGATTTTCTTTTCTTTCGTTTTCATATCCTGTCTTTTTAAATGATACTTGATGATTAACATTCCTTTGCCAGTTTCAMAACACGTCCTTTTATCGAGTGTGTTAATATGTATTCCAATGGTCCTCGTKTGACTTATTTAGAGTGAAGAAGAGTTATTGCTCAAAGATGACTGGACAGAGATCACGCGATATAAGGGGAAGAGCTTCTTGTGAGAAAATAAATGAGTGAATAAATAACCTTTGTAGATCCAAGCGGTAGATATCTCCCCTTCCGCCCCCCCCCC